ATTTATTATTATTTTGTTCAGCAGTGAGCACTCGTGATGACTCCAGATCTTATTCAAGTGTTACGCTGGAACCACCAGCTCGTGAGATCTTGATCCAGCCTTTCCCTAATCTTATACAGAGAGGATGACAGCATTTAGGATTTTTCTTAATAAATTTTGAATCATCCTAGCTCATGCTAGGTGCTCCCAAAAGCCCCAGGAATAGCTGTTGGTACTCACGCAGAGCTGATGTTTTAAACTTTACCGCCAAATGGAATAAGAAGGGCTATTCTTGCACCCAAGTTCAGTTTCAACAACACTCTCCATGCTTTTGGTAGTTATTAGAACGACTCAAAAACCTCTATCAGAATTTTTCTCAGAAGGTGTTTTGGCCAAATTAACATTTCCAGGAAGGAAACTGGTCTTCTCCATCTTCCCACTGATGAGGAACTGAAGGGAGTCATTGAAAGCTAAGGTCAGAAATGGGAACCTGCGCCGCTTAACAGAAATGTTTTACAATTAAACCACTTATTGCCATGGTAAAGGACATAGTATTTGCTCTGCTGTCAGCCCTTCTACAACAGGGGAAAGCTTTTGCTTTGTTTTCATGCTTTTTGAAAGCATTTCTTTGGTCATTAAATCAATCTTTCAGAGTGCTCAAAGGGGTTTTGCAATCAAGAACAAAGAGAAGCACTTTTTCCCCAGCTGCATCACCTTCAAAATAAAATATCCTTTCAGGGTCTAAAAGCCTGTGCCTGCACCCAGCTCATGAACCAAGCCCTGTGCCAAAAAGGGTCTTGTAATTTGGTGTTGGAGGAAAGAAAATCACTGACTCCATATGTCTCTGTGTGGGTGCAATACACGTGCAAAGAGTGGAGTAACTGCTTTTCTGACAGCTCTTGGTCCAGCCGTGAGACAACACGTAAAAAAATGCGTTTCAGCTGTGTGAGTTGCTCAGATTAAGTTATCCTGACCACACAGTTCCCACAGCTACTCACCCAGACCCACCCCATCTGGGCACTCTTCCAACATAATAAAACCACAGCTAATCCCAGACATATTTTTTTTTTCAATCTCCAAAAGCGACCCATCTTCAGTTTGTCACACAAAAAGCACTGCTCTAGAGTAACAGCTGTAAATCAGCTTTTTCTGCGCAATGTATTGAGTAAAAAAAAGCCCCAAGTTCTTTCCAACAGCAGGACCACAGAAACCACTTCAACTGTTGGTGCAGAAGGAAAAATATCACGGATTTAACCTGAGCAGTCACCAGCATTCACAGCAGGAAACCAAACCCACACCTCAGTGCCCTAGGTTAGGAGAATGGGTGTGAAGGTTATTCAGAACGAACCTGACCAGCAAAGAAAATTCAAGATAAAAGGTCCATTTTTCACTATTTGCAAAAAACTTCCACAGTCTGAAGTCTCCTTCTCCCACTAGAACACTTTCTTGGCAACATTGGACTACCTCCCCCTCAAGAGATCCAGAAAATATAGAAGTTTGCAAGAAGGAGAAGAAGAAAAAAAAAAAATATTTAGTCTACATCACAGCTCCAAACCCTATAAAGGCTCATAACAACCAGCCTGGCTGGTGCTGGAGCAGTGCCTCTGCTCAGGAGGGACAAGTTGGTCCCCACAGAGGTCACACTCTGCATTGACCACTAACACCAGCCACTGCGACCATCTGCAGCAGCCACGGATGGCACAACAGAAACTGAGCCCTCACATCCCATAGCCGTCTGGGCTGAGGAAGAACATCTTCCCAGTATTTACAGTATCTATGACAGCCTTCTCCAATATTTTGCATTACACACCATGAGGAATCACTGTATATACACAGAGCTCTGGCATATTCATGGTTATTAAGCGCCGTTATTTCCAAAGGGGTCTGGGTTTGGAGACTTTCTTCGTGGCTGGCAGCACAAAAGACATCGAGATGGGGCATCCTCCTGACATGTGGCAGTCGCTGCTCCCGCAGGGATGTCCACCTGCCCTTGCTCCCCTGTGATCTGGTTAAAAGGCAAATTCAAGGGGCTTTAAAAAAAAAAAAAATCCTAATTAAAAAATAGAAATTAACTCTTTCCCCTTCAGACTTGTGAGAGTGAGGTTTCACCAGCATGAGCACCTGCACAACACGAGAAATGACAAATACACGTACCTTCCTCAGTAGGTCTTTCTCCTTAATGTAGGTGTCTTCCATGACCTTCCTCTCACCATGAGCTTTCTCCAGCTCTAGCCGAAGGTGTTCCATCTCTTCCTGCAAGCTGACAAGCTGGTTGCCGTCACCCTGGTGGCTCTGCTGATATTGCACCAGTTCCTTCTTCAGCTTTTCCACCTCGGAGGAGTGGGCAGATGTGAGCACAGAGAGTTGCTCGTTCAGAAGTTTGTATTCCTTGTTCTGCAGCCAACATCCCCCAAAAAAGAAGAAAATAAGACCATAAGCAAGATCAATGCATGCAATGATACACTCCAAAAGTAACCATCAAAAATCCTGGAGCATGGTGGGTAACAAAGCTTCGACAACAAACACTTCCATGCATATGTGCTAATAAAGCTCATAAAGCTCAAAACAATTTCAAAACTGTGACAAAAAGCTCAATAATATGTTGTCATTGGCAAACAACATGTGATAGCAGTGGCAACCAAACCAAAAAACCTACATTTTTATTACAGCTTCCAAACAACGTTGCTTAAAGCAACTGGCTTGCAATTTTTTTTGGTTTGCAATACTGGGTTTGTGGTTTATCACAGAATCACAGAATGTTAGAGATTGGAAGGGACCTCAAAAGATCATCTAGTCCCTTTTATTCCTGGCTCCGAAGCCTGCAGGAACCTGGGGTGACAATGCACTGTAGCATAATTGCAGCCTTGAGCACAAAGAGCTCCCTAAACCCCAGCTTTAAATCATGTGCCAGCTCAATTGTCTTTTTATTTGCTCAGATTTTCTCTCTTTTAAAGCACTTAGCAATGATTTGCTCCTCAGTTCTGAGACCTGAAAATTCATCTGCTTTGATTTTCCTACATTGAATTCACCACAGACCAAGAGCTTCAGTAAAGAGCCCACCACGTAGCTTTGCGAACATGAGGTAGATAATCACAAAAGGGTTTGGGTTGGAAGGGACCTTCGAGACCATCCAGTTCCACCCCCCTGCCATGGGCAGGGACACCTCCCACTAGCCCAGGTTGCCCAAAGCCTCATCCAGCCTGGCCTTGAACCCCTCCAGGGATGGGGCATCCACAGCTTCTCTGGGCAACCCATGCATTGCACAGTGTTGACTAATTAACATTTCTGCATGATCAAAGCCACTTCCAAAGAGAAGGAAAGAAAACCTTTGCCTACAGAGAATGGCAATGACCATTCTGGTTCACAAATCTCTGCTGCTTCCTTCCATCTCCGCTTGTTCTCCAACAAATGTCTTGTGGCTTTGTGTCCCAAGGTTTATGCGTACAATTTTACACACCAGCCAACTAAGGCTTCAATCCAGATAGAAAATAAATGCACAGGAATGCTTTTTCTTGTTGTTCAGACATGAGAAAGCATTTACTGTCTTGTACCAAAACAGCTGGTCCCCACTGCAATCAGAGATTGCTCAACAGACCTCGTTAAACTTGAACTTGCTTTATTTTAAATCGTTACCCCGTCCTGGTTTCAACCCAGGCTCCGTGAACCAACCCAGAGTTTATTTTGCCACCAATGGCAGAGACGACAACTTCATCGCTACTGTTACCCAAACGAGTTTTGTTCACAATAAATGGTCACGGAGATACTGCCGCTTGCAGAGACAGCGTCAGGAGCTCACTGTGAGTCTAAACATTGGCTGCGTGAACACATAACACTAAATTAGGTAACAGCCTTAGAACTGTCTCAGGCAGCTACAATATACACATTTGAAAAAAAACCAAACAACTCACTTAACTGCAAAGAACAAAGAAAGAGAAGGGCATGGCCCGATGTGGACAGCAAAAAGTGGTCCAGTTGGGATATTTTGCAGCAAAACAGATTTAAACCTTTCTCATGTGTGCAAAAAATCCCTCACCTGATTTAGAAACTGAAGTCAAAAGGCCCAGTTACGGATGCTAGAGCCAGTGAGCTGAGTTTGACATACAATAATGGGTTTGAATGTTTTCAAAGAAAGATCTTCTCTTCCTAAGGGGCACACAAAATAGTGCATCTCTCTATTCATGCATGAGCTAAACTAGTAGAAATGGAAACATTTTATTCCACAGGTAGTCAGAAAACAATACAACTGCAGCTCTTTAGGTTACCAGCAATTTTTTTTTTTTTAAGTTAACTGGCATTTTAAAAGGTCATGTTTATGGATTAGCAAGGACTGAAATCAAGATACTTCATGGGAGAATATGACGCAACAAACTCACTGCTGCCAGAGAAAATCCAGTGCACTCAAAAAAAAGTCCACTGGAACGGTGCTCATTAGCACTCACTCCCAAAGCATCCCAGGGAAACCTGTCATTCCTGAAACACGGTTAAGTTAGCTCACTGGACCGACTACCACGAGTAATATGGAGCAGCAATTCTTTCCTGCAAAAGTTAATGCAGAAAGCATCAAAGTAAATCCTTCAAACTGGTCTGTGCAGAGACCCAGGGAGATCAAGATGAGCTCCAGCCCGTTATTTCTGCCTACTTAAAAGCTCTTCATGTCTCCTTCCCTAAACCAGACCTTTCTGCTGCTTCCATAATCCATGCCAGGAAAGCCAACATGAACCAAAGATTGTTTTTCTCACACTTTTCCTAGCAGTAAATGGCAAGGAATTAAAAAAATAAATAAATACTGCTGCTCCACTGCCAAGTCCAGCAGCTCAGACCCAACACAGATGTTCACACTCATTGCATGAGTCCAGCCCAAATATGTGGACCTGAGATGACTCGTCCTAATTAATTCCACGAAATACCCTCCAGATGAAGGGCAGTCATATCAAACAGGTTCCTGATACATAAATATATAGAAAACCTTCTGCCTAACGTTTTCCATTCCTAAGTTACTGTTTGTCTGCAAAATCTAAGCATGCAAGCAAGCATTTTAAAATTCAACGCGGCAGTTTAAAAGTCAGATTCTACTGCGCTGCACGTTTTGCAGCCAATTAATACAGCCTTGAAAGCAGGCAGCAGTAATGCAGCTCCCCGGGTGCCTTGACTCTGCAGTATCTGAGCCAACGCAGAGTCATTTCTCATCTTCTTCATCGCAGGACCTCTCGTGTCATACAGGGATGGGAGAGATTTAAGGCAGCGAGGAAACGGTGTGTGATGTATAAGTGTTCCTGATAACATCCAAAATGCAATTATAAACTGCGTAATTACTGATAACAGGTGCTACAAATCAGCAGGTATCCTGATTTACAGAGGATGTTTCTCCTGCCTGCAAAAGGGATGTTTAAGGATATTAATTTCTCCATTAATATTAGTGGATACAATTGGGCCCTACTCAGCATTTCTTATTCTGAACAATTGTTATGTCTAGTAACACAAACATGCTCAAACTACTCTGCAAAGTGAGTGTTTACCCAATTTACCCTTTACCTGCCAGGTAACATGACTCAAAACACACGGGGCAGAGGCTCTGCATCCTCAGGGCTTGCGAAACAAAGTGTAACGGCCAAAGGCTCTTCGACATAGGGCTCTTCCGTGGAGCTGGTTTGGGTTTTCAAGCAACAGCTTTCAAATTTACCATTTTATCTTCCTCCTCCAAGTCCTTCCAGGTGCTTCTCACAAGAATTACAACACAGCTTTTGCAGCTTACTGAGCAAGCTCTTCGGACAGCAAGGTGGAGACCCAAGATCCAAGTGCATCTGCACTTCCACGGTGGTGTCCCACCCTTACAAGCGTCTGGCTAGCGGTAAATGAAGGCTGCTACCACCATGACATCCTTCTCAGACATCACGGGAAGATAAAATCAGGAACCACAGCACAAGAGCAGCAAAGCAGAGGCAGGGCCACTCTTGTCCCAGCGCAGCTCAGGACGTACCTGCTCATCGATCTTCCTTTGAAGCTGGACCACCTTGTTCTCCATGCCGATGTTGAGCTTCTTCAGATGCTGTGCTGAGCGGGCCTCAATCTTCAGCGCCTTCAGCTCCTGCCTGGCCTTCATGCGCCGGTAGCAGCACTGCAGGACGATGGTGGCACCCCTGAGGCGGTGGAACCGAGCGCGGGCCAGCCAGCCACGAGCGTACTTCTGGAGGATGGTGGCTTTGTGCTCCATGAGGACCTGTAAAAACATGGGCAGAAAAGGGACAATGAAGGGAGAAATGTCCCCCTGCCGCCCCTGCATGATGCAGACAAATGCTGTCCTGGTCAGATTTCTTATCATACGGATCACCTTCAAATAAAACTCTGGAGTCCTTTCACTGCAGTTTGCAGCCAGTTCTCTTGCATGATTCAATTTCTAGAAACTTCTCTCTCGTTCTGTGAAACTTCTGGCACTTTTGCATTTTATTTCTCCCCCCAAACTTACAGCAAACTTTTCAGCAAGTGGCAGTTCAACTCCTTCCTCTAAAACTGAAGGCTGTCATGCCAGAGATACAACCAGCATGTTGTTAATAACTTTCTTATGTTGATCTATGCTGTAGTATTATGAGGAAAGAAATACCAGGAGGATTTAACAATTACAAGACACTTTGCTGTTATTAGTTTGGGATAAGTTGTTTCAGAAATGGTACCATATCAGCTTCTCTTAGAAATCTTTTGTTTCACCCTACAGTTTTCTCAGCACTTGCAAATTTTAATTCCGAATTAAGGGACTGTGCAAATTTAGGATGCACTGTATCACCTGCTGTCATCAAACCTTTACTACTTTGCTTTCAGCTCCTGGTTTAATGGAGAGAACCAATTAAAGAGGGATTTATATCAATAAATCATAGATTTAATCATAATAAATGACTTGATGCCTTCCATGACAGACTCCACCTCTCTTCCCACCGTACTGGAAAGGGCACCTGCAGCACAGCTCAAACACAAATTCACTTTGCCAGGGAGGTTTTTGCAGAGTATGGGTTAGATCAAATGACATTTCCAGATTTCCACGATGCCTTCTGGCATCCGAATGACTAACTCCATTTAGCTACTCCTCTGAGGTGCTGCTGCCAAAATCAATTTTGCTTGCAGAGCTTTAAATGGCAACGCTCGCCGTCACTGTGTGCTCTCCAGAAACACCAGCAGCAGTCAGCTTCGGAAAACATCAAAACGGCCACAATAAATATATCACCGTGCTATGCCAGCGGAGGTAAACATAAAGGCTCTTCCTACTCTTTTCTAATGCAAAGACACTCTGTGGAGTCACACCTTGTGATAAATCCTCCTGTCAAACATGCCCCGAGTGAAAGCCTGGATGGTGATGGTTGCATTGCGGACTCTTTGGAAAGCTCGGAAGATCCGCAGCATTCGGTATTGCTTCTGGAAGATGATGGCAGCTCTTGTCCTCCTTAGGTGCTCGGCAAGCCTGCGAAGCACAGAGGAAAAAGGTTAGCAACAAAACTAAACTCCCCTTTCTTTATGTCACAAGGAGTTTTAAACCGGACAGAGGGAAAAACCTTTTGTCCAAAAGTAGCTCCAGGGTATTCAAGACAGACCACCCCAGCAGCAGGGCTAAGAAAAGAGCAGCTGATAGCATGGCTCTGTTACAATAGTGGGAAGACGCAGCAAGCAGTGTCCATGGGACCCAGGAGCACTGGAACCAGAAATCAAACAGACCTCATTATTCCTAAACAGTATTAAAAACAAATATTTTCCAGCTTTTCCCTTGGTTTGAGCTCTCTGCTTTACGTACTTGGGCCAATCAATGCCCAGGTTGGCTCCATCGCTTCCCCAACTATAAAAAGCAAGCGTCACACGGGGGATCTACCGACTCAGTGAAAACGGCTGCAAATGGATTTGACATTTAAACCGGTGCGCAGTGGTTTGGCAACATTCGGGAGCAGAGCCCCAAGCAATTCACAGAGAGGAAATAACAAGAGATGTGGTCAACTCCGTGACACATTGCTCCCATTCTCCAGCTGAACTGAGGCTCAGTTTGCTGTTACACAGGTTAATAAATGCCCATAAAACCTCCATTTAATTGGATAAGTAGCTTGTTTTGCCAAATTTATGATTCATTTATTGCTTTTAGCATGAAGAATTATACAGATATTTGAGCCACTTCTTTATTCTGTGAAAAGCATATCAAAACTAAAACAGCCCTATCGGATCGGCTTATATATTTATTCTCTTCGTCAAGGCCAACGGTTTCTCGTTAGGACCCACTGAACCAGAGCTTACTAACGAGAAGGAGGGATGGTCCGTTTCCAAAAAAAGAAAGTTATTCAGATGACATCCAACCCTACGAAACCAACACAAAGAGGTGAACTGAAAAATCACGTTGAAGAAACACCGTAGCAGAAAAAAGTCCAGAAAAATCCTATTGATGGCAAACACCATCATCTTGGCAACAAGAGTCCTTCTCTGAGAGTGTTTCCAGCTCCCAAAGTCATGAGTGACAAAAACACCAATCTCGGACTCCTCTTTTTTCTCCATATGCCTGCAGGCGGCTCAAGCCACGAGGGGGGGCCTCTTGTTAACATCCTCTGTGCCTGCCCCACGTTCAAAGGGATTTTGCATCCTCCTGCAAGGACACACCTGCAACTCATGGGCCACCAGCTCCCAACTGGAGACCCACCAGGAGCACAGCTTTGGTGACACAGCTGCTTTGTGCTTTAGTAGTTGCAAGGACTTTGCCCCATGAAGCTGTACCCTTGGGTGTTCAGAGTTTCAGGGGGTTTCCATGCATCTGCATCCAGCATCTCTTGTTTGGCTCATACTCTGTCACTTCAGCGTCACCAGGGATTCCTCCTCCCCTGCCTAGAGGACAGTTGGCTGATGGAAAGGTAAATAGAGAGCCCAAGCCTGTAGGTGTGCATGGAGAGCCCACCACCGAGGCTGAAGTTAATCACTGACTCTCCCTTTTTCTTAATTTTCCTCTTATTCCTTAAAACTCATTTGCCTTGTCTCCAAGTCAGCTATACCACTGCTGAGAAGGACCTGCAGCCAGAGAAGGACACGGACCTCTGAGGACAAGAAAAACCCATGCCCAGTTTTAAAAAAAAAGTCAATCTCTGCCCAGCTTTGCTTAGTTGAGATCTTCTCATCCCTGGATTCTCCATGATGCCAATCGCTTTCACAAGCACAAATAACCCCACAAATTCAGTTAGCATCTGTGATGTTCCTCAAAAATACAGTATGATTTAGAAGAAATCCTTGGAACGAACATGGAATTCAATGGTTGCTTCAATAACTGATAGAAATCAGCGTTCATCCACCAATGAGGAATGAAGAAGTGACTGTGTAGGAGCCTCGCAGCAGACAGGCAGCATCTCACGTTGCCCAAGTACAGAGTTAACTGGGATGCAGATTTTGTAGCAGCACTTCTGATGGGGAGTTGCTAGCCCAGAGCCAGGGAGAACATTGCTCCTCAAAACCAAGCAACAGAGCTAACAGCTCCTCTAAGCAGAAAACAAGAAGGGAAACTGAAAGGACCCAAATCTACTTCTTGTTCCTATTTGGAAAGTGCCTGGAGCCAGCTTGGCTAGATGCAGGAGAACGGCAGGGTTTGACACGAATAAGGGGCACCAAGATGCAAGATGACCCACGTGTTGGGATGCTGTTACTGCTCCCAAACACCCACCTGCTCTCCAGCAAAACGTTATCTGCAGAAACCCCAGCGAGTCGCTGACACAAAGAAGCTTGAGGTTCCCACTCACAGAGAGTTAAAACTTTATTCTGTACTGTAAACAGCCCCGCTGCCAGTGATCTGGAGTGATTTTTCTCATTACAAAGGATGCGGTAAATCAATTCTGAGAACTCCCATTGGATACCAAGGAGGCACAAACCTGGTCCCTGCGGAAGCGGAGCGTGTACCAACTACCAAAGTGCTCACTGGCTGATCCAAAGGTATCAGTAGTTTCAGAAAAATATTAGCTCTGTGAAACATTTTTACCTAAATATCTCAGAATACTTCAGTCATCTGATTCCAGCCTAGCTGCCTATGCTATAGCCCTGGCCCACAACCTAGAAACTAAATCCATGTGGATACAAAATCAGTTTGAGACAAAGAATGTTGATCTCTTACCCCTGAATAAAGCTGGGGAGAGGGGGCAGGAATAAATCCTGATTTTAGCACAGAAACTGTCACCATAGTGGTACCTACACATATGATATGGATATCTTGTTTTCACAGGGCTGAAAGGCAACACCCCATGCAGAGCATTTTCAACATTTCTCATATGAAACCCCTAAGTTTAAGGTCTACAGGATGGAACAAATTGATAATGCAAGTACCCAGAAGCATTCTTCCATTTGATTTCCCAACCAGCCCCTCCTCGGAGGGCATCCTAGGACCCACCTCCGCGCCAGGTGCCCCCGCGTGTAGCGCTGGATGACGATTGCAGCTTGTCTCAGCCTTTTGAACTTGACCCTCTGCAACCAGCCCCGCACCATCTTCTGAATCATGATTGTGGCAGCTCTGAACTTATCTGCTCGCAGTTTCTCCAGATATGCCACTTGGCCTGCACGGAAAAAGATCTTGGTACGTCCAAACTGGAACTTGTCTGGATCCTTTTCAAAAGCATAAAGGAAACTAAATTTAATTAAGGCAAACATTGGTTAGTATTGTTTTGTTTTTTTTGTTTTTTTGTTTTTTTTCCAGTTTATGTTGCTCAGTAGATACAGATTTAAAAAAACCCATTGAATCAAATTTATCAGCTCAGCTCACATCTCTTCTTAACACAAATTCTGGATGTTTTTGGGGGGCTTGGGGTTTGGCTTTTTTGGGGGGTTTGGGGTTTTTGGTTTGGTTTGGGTTTTGGTCTTTTTGGGTTTTTGGGGGGTTTTTTTGTTTGGGTTTTTTGTTTTTGGTTTTGTTTTTTTTTTAAGTTAAATAGAGCTATGCAATGCCACAGGACTTCAAGAAAAGATTTATTTGTTGAAAAGATTAAGGCTTACATCTGCAAAGTCATACATGCAGTGCAAACGCCTCTGCAGCTAAGGGAAACTCCTGGTGCATAAGGAGAACAGGTTTTGCAGAGAAGCATCTGATTGAGTAAATTCCTCAAAATCTCACGAGGAAAACAAAGATTAAAAATTTAAACCTGGCTAAGGCATTGTGTGCATTCTGGGCTGCTCAACAGCAAGACAAAAGGAAAAAATCTTTATGGGTAGATTTATGATTTAAAAGTAACGCATGTGAGTCTGAGTAGAGAGGTTTTGGTGAGGAGAGGTGGCAAACACTTCTTATTTGCTTAAGAAAAAGAAGTCCCAATCTATGGGATGCTTTTTCTATGTATTAGAGGCTATTAAATGTTTCTTACATCAAGATAGGGCAATTATGGCATTTTTCTCTTACTCATTTGTGCAAAGAGACATTTAATGATGCAGTGACAGGACCGACTTTGACTAAGGTTCACAATGTTGTACACAGTATCCAAAGCTGGACCTCTGAAATACCTCCAGCTGTGGCTGGCCAAAATACTGGAGAGGTTGGAGGGACTAATTTTCTGGAGATGGCCAGTTGTTTACGTACAGTGACAACAAACTCTGGATTTCAGCAGCACAAGTACGTTCAGCTTGACTGCAACCAGGAGATCCCAAGTCACACTTGCCCACACTACCTCCTTGCAAGACTATCGCATTTTGGAAAAAGCCCCAGGCTGCACGAGCAGTGGGTGAAATAGGAGCACAGAGAGCAATTCAGATGACATCAAAGCCATGAGCTTCCTGCTGTAAATATAATTTCCAAAGATCTAGTCCCAGCTCACCTCAATGAGGTCTTCCAACAGGGTCTGACAGATCTGCTTCTTGTCGTTCTTAGAGAGGTCTCTCTTTTTCATAAGAACACAATACCGATTGAAAAAGTCATGGTAGGACCACCTGAAAGCAAAGCATACACAGGATTAGTCTGCATGCTGGACATTATTTCTTTAAAATAAAGAGTGTGGAGTCACAGATTAGTCAAAATATGAAATTCACAGACCAAGGGATCTCTCACCACTGCCCTCAACTGAAAGGAGCCGGGTCACTCAAGCCTGGTCCCCAGTCACCATCTCCCCTGCCACCGAATGACCCTAGCAGTCTGGAACAGAAAGGCCGTGGATCACCTTGTTTTCACTCCTCCTGATGTGCCTCCCAAGCTGCTGCATTTTACCAGCCAAATGCAACATCGCTGTTCCCTTCAGAAATGATCTGTTAATTTTGAAGAGATCACAGATCTCGTGATTTGGCCAAAAAATTTAAAAAGTAATCCTGATGATAGATAACAAATCAAACAGAAACTCTTCCTTATTTTGCTTTTCAAACTCTGCTGGATATTAATTTGAATCAATTAATTCACTAATCACTCCATATTGAGGTCTGTGGCTGAAACCTTTCAAACAAACACGAAATCTTTGGACCCTGAAAAGACAAAGCAGCCACTTGGAAGATGCTTCAGTGTCAGCAGCAGTGAACTATCCAGACACACAACACTAACTGAAGGAATTAGAGCACTGTATCTTTCTGCAAGGAAATATCACCTCCCGCCACCGCTGTCAGATGTAGAGCCTGTGCACTGGATCCTGAAACTGGTTCATCTGCCAAGTTTCAGCCTTCTCCACATGAACACAGTGAGTTATGGACCCCTCAAAACCTGCTTTGTTTCTTTTTTTTAATTAAAACACTAAAGCATTTCCAGCACTGTCAACTACAGCCATCATTATTTAAAAAAAAAAAAAATATGCATAACAAACAAAGGAAGATGGGAGAGAATTGCAGAGATTTTGATTTCTGCCCTCACTCGATGAAAGAATCTGTGAGCCTGACGCTCACCCGCGTGGATGTTCTGGCAGCCAAGATGAGAACACATCGTACAAGGAGCAGACACACAGAAACACCTCCTCCGCCACCCAGCAGCCCCATGCACCCCTTTATTTTTGTGTCATTACACCCAATTCTTCCTATTTTTCCCCTTCCAGGGAGAGGGGAAAAGAAAAGCAAAATAAATTGCAAAGGGCCAGAGCGATGCTTGAGATGGGTCTTTACACTCGGCCAGTTCTGCTGGGTGAGACATCCCACCACCTGAGCACCTCCCGCGTTCAAGGCTGCCATCTCGATAAAATATTTCCTAGAAAACAACAGAATAGTTCAGCTGGAAAGGACCTACAACCACCATCCAGTCCAACTGCTGATATAATCTGTAATGAAACCTCTTGAAGGCTGGAAGCTGGAATATTTGGTAAGACTGGCACACCAGAAACACAACACTTATTTCAAAATACATGACCAACACAGTTTGGGGTTTAAGCTTAAACTTAAACCTTCTCTTTGCTTCCTAAATGCCTTTGCTTGATAACTACATTTCCCATTTTGTACCCACACCCTAATCCTTTCGCTCTGTATAAATAAAACCCATTTTCATTTTAAGCACATCCGAGGCTTTGCGCAGCTCCGAATCAAACCTGATGGGAGAAGCAGCGCCCGAGGCATGCAGCCAGGCGCTGGAGACCTGCTGCCTGGCTCAGGTATTACTCAAGCCGGGGAGAGCTTGTGGTGGGGAGAACGGAGAAGGAGAGAGCTGGTCTGCCAGAGCCTGTTTAGGGGCTGATATTATCAACTGCTGCTATTTGGAGGATGAAATCATCCTGGAGGTGCCTCTTAAACAATGGCAAAGAGGCAACACGGGTGAAGGAGGGCATGGGTCCACGCTGGGCAAAAAGCAGCAAAATCCATCTTCTTCCTGCACCGAGACAGAGATGAAGATCCCGCAGATCAAGAGGCAGATACCTGCAGAAAATCCTTAAAAGTAGTTCATAAATCACTGCTTAAAAGATCTTTCTTCAGAGCCTGTTGCTCTCATGTGGTGGTATGAGATGATCTTCCACTTGTTTCCATTTGAGCCCATCTTTAACACAGATAACTCACTTTTGAGGATTAAATCTCACATGAAACACTGGAATTGGCAGGGAATTCGCTCACTGATTGCTGTTGGGGTGTTTTGCTGGGCTGGCAGCATCCATAGTCCTCTATCCACATCTCCCACAGGTTCACAGCCAAACGCTGCACCTCCACGGCACAACATCGCTCACCCGTGATCGCTCTCTGATTTAACAGGAGATGACAATCCCGAGATCACACTGCTTGTATCATTGTCCACCGAACATCAAGATAAAAGCTCTGCCATGCTGGGGCTCCGGAGCTGGTCCATCAGGAGTTTCGCTGGAATATTTGCAGCCCCAGTTCACAAGCAAAAACAAGCTGCTGGGGTTCATAGGTGCTGCTACAGGATCATTCCCCAGAGAAAGGAACGATTAAAGCACTCAGGTTTAACATAACATGCCTGGTTAAACCACTCCAGGTTCAAAGCAGGATAAAATTACCTTTTAACTACACGCTTTGAGAGAAACAAACGTGATCCCCCAACTCTACAAGAGAGAGATTTTTGTTGCAGAAATACTAAGACTCAGTGCTTTGCTGCACAAACTTTTTGGTTTTAATTCTTTTTCACTTTTTTTTTTTTTAAGGTTTAACATCTGCGTCTTCAGCAAGGAAAAGGAAAAAAATAAAAGAGAAAAACTTGTTTCCTTCCTGCGAGACCACAAAGCAATTTACAGCACAAGACAGAAGATGTGCTGTTTTACCCCACAGCTTCGCAGGTCAGCACAGATTATGGGAAGGTTAAACCTCGGTTCAACTTGTCGACAGGTATTAAATTGAAAGCAGACCTTGGATTTTCAGGACGCTGCCACACAACGTGGACATGCCTTATTGCAAGGAGCTGGAAACCAGCAAGGGCCACTAAATAGATACAATTCCTTGTAATTATCGAGTTATAGGATCCAGACAAGTGGTAAAGGTGAAGAGCTGTAGCCAGGAGGAGTTTTGTACCTGCACAGCTGAGGAAGAAGGAGAAGGAGGCACGAAGGACTGGGCAGATTCTACCTAAACTCTTCCCAAGGGGGGGAAAAAAAAATCTCAGGGCTGAGATCAAGCACAGCCAACCTTGAACATCAAAATTTTACTTTGAAGTCAGCACAGGTCACTAAAGGAAAGAGGCAATAAAAGGAATGGAAGGACACGGGAAAAAAAAAACCAAACAACTTCCTTGGGCTCGAGCAGCAAGGAGGATGCTCAGGAGCTTGGATGGTCAACCCAGCAATTTGTTTGTCATCTAGAGGAATTAGACAGAGGGATAAGCCATAACACATGCCACAAATTAAACCCTGAATCTGTCGTTTAAAAAAACCTAAAATTTGGATGCTTTACACAAAACTACAACTGGGTGCAAAGCAAAGGCGTTGCTCCTGCCTGAAATCACAGGGCTACGAACCCAGCACCACGTGCTGCCATCCCCTGAAGGGATCAATAATTTAAGCAGTAGGAGCTGGACTCTATTGATCTTCCTACAGAAGCTGAAGTCTGTTTGGGGGAAGCAGGTTGAATACCTGAGCCAAGATTTGACATGAAATTATTTTGGAAACTGTGGTTCAGGAAGAAAATTGTTCTTGCCTTGTTTACCGTAGCAGAACAGATCTGCCTTTCAATTAGCTCTAAAACATGCAGGCTGGCATGGCTTGAAATTATCTGGAATATATTCAAAGAGCAGAGTGAGAGGGAAAAAAAAAAAACCAACCCTCTATTTACATATTACCTTTGTTGTGAGTGGGGGGAGCAGGCAAACAGAACTGCTGGTGGCCAAAGTCATTTATAGGTTTTGTTTCCCTGACTGCAAGACAGCTAAAGGCACATTATAAAAAAAATTATTTTATATCCAAGGATGCTCACGATCCATTTCAATTATGAATGCTTAATGTTTAGAGAGTTTAGCAGCTGTGATTTTATACTGAATTGATACAAAGATGCTGCATCTGACAGTCAGAGGAAGCAGCCAAGTGCCAAAACCATTTACAACAATAAATTTCATACATAGCAACTATAATAAGAATATTTTGGAGAGACTGCAACGATGACATTATTCAGCGTGACTGCCCCGTGGGAGACCGCCGCCTTTGTACCACCACCGTGAAGAAAAATGTAGAATTTTGACAAAATCCAAGATAAAAATTTGTTTTAAAGAGGATTTTTGTCATCAGTGGAGATCTGCACCAATTAATTCTCTACAGCCTAATCTTTATGTAGCCCGTTTCTACAAAGAAGATGAATGGTTTTATAGTAGAGACATCTTCCACGCTTTACCCACAGAAGCTGATGATAGATTTACTATCTACATGTTTAAGACAGTCCATTCATCACAGTCATTTATGTACATGCTGACAAATCCATTTCTTAACCGCTGCGTAACATTTCAAACCAAATGATACATTTTCCATTTCCTTGAGTGCAGCGTACCGTGGAAATGATAAAAAAAAGCCAGGTGTGCTCCAAGTGAGTCTTCATCTTTTTAGGAATATATCATGTCTTACATGGGTTGAAGAACATTAAAACCTGTATTAAAACTTATTATTTTTCTTAAAGGAACCAGGTAAAAAAAAAAAATCGAAGCCTCAAAACATTCAATTCAACTCATGAGGGAAGAGTGTGAAATAACAGCAGAAAGTGGCTTTATCCAGGATCTCTGACCCAAAGCCACACCACTTGAAGAACTTATTCTTGTGACAGTACGCTGGAAAATATTCAGATGTAAATACACAAGGATGAAGATAAACATTTTCTTCTGTTTCTGTAATAAAACTTCTCTCGAGGTAAAATGTTTTGAAAATTCTCTCTTGCTCCAAAGGTAAATTTCTTACACCCAAGCGAAACAAAACTCACCAAGATCAAGTTTTCTATTATTATTTTAAGTGGTTTAAATTTATAGCCTTCACGCAGGGTTTAAATTTAAAGCAATCTCCCTCCTTTTTGGTTTTATCCTTAAACAACCATTATAATCCATCTTGTCTCAAAATATAAGGAGATCTGGAGGAATAATCAATGCTCACTGTGATGAAAACTGAGAGTGATCTTATGGCACGTAGAAACTCAGAATTACACCATCTATTACATTTCCCACAGAAGAAGATCCTGCAGAAGCAGTTTTTGCGACTGAACTGGAGAAAGTCACTCGGAAAGGCTGAAATAGCTATTTACACCTTTTTTTTTTTTTTTTTTTCCCCTGGAGGAAGAACAAAAGCTGACAAGATGCAGTGATGGAAGAATTCTGTAATCTTAGCGTCCTGAGAAAAAGATCTCATAACCAAAAGCACACAAGCAGAGACAAAACCATTCCTTTGGAGTCTTTCAGGGTGGAGCGGTCTTCATACTAGTCAATTGTTTGCCATAAATAGATCTTTGCTGGTCTCCAGGTGCTGCAGTGGAGTCTCCCTTCTGTTCCCCCTCCCCAATTACTAACTATACATCAATTTTAGCACCCTGGGGTCTAAACTGCAGAGTTAAGTGAGCAGAGATGGAAAAAAGCTACATGTTTCTAGGAAAATTATGAATGGAGAGGAACAGGACATCCCTGCAGCCATGCTAAGACCAGCAGCAAAACCCATGGGCAACCCTCAAATCAGAGCTCCCCAAATTCTCCCTGCGACCCGCAACTGCAGAGCCACGAGCACCCACTGCACTGGGGAGCACGACAATGTGTTTAAGGAGCATAAAACTGCATTTCTGTGGCCTTTTCTGAATGAAACCATAGCGATTTCACCGCTCTAGGGCTTCCACTGCAAGAGGACAGGCAGGTGGACTTGGCCCTGCAGCCACTTCAACAAAGAATAAAAGCTAATAAAGATAATTAAAAGTCCTGACCCATGGGCTGGTTTTTAATTTTCCATTTAGGAGCAACTTTGTATTAATTACATCCACAAATGCCTTGAAGACTTCAGAGACAGGAGCCAAAGGTGATGTTGGGTTTCCTAACAGGGCCAGAGACAGGAGGACCCAAATCTCCATCCACCTCCCTGCCACCCTCCCATGCTGGCAAAGGAGAGAAATAAATTGGTTTCTAGGAACCTTTTTTGTCTTTTCTTTCCCTTTTTTCCCCTTTTTCTTTTTTTTCCTTTTCTTTCTTTTTTTTTTGTTTTTTTATCTCTTCATCCTTCTTAAGGAGCTGGGCTCAGCCACTCAGAGAGATCCCCATCACCAGCTTTTTTGCCCATCCATGGAGGTGACTGGCCAGCAGATGTTTTTTGGGGCTTAGGTGCAGCAGAACCACCTCACGTCAACGCACAGAAGCTGCCATCAATTGTCAGAGGCTCTTTGCAGATGAGAGTAACTGGGTAGGCAGCACACTTCTCCCCATAAACCAGGACAGGGAGCTTCTCATGGCGCTTAACATCACGCTTAGCCGACTCTTTACTGAGCATATTTATAACTCCTTTATTCCATATAAAAAGGCTGATGGCTATGCTGACATTAACACAAAGCCACTCGGTGCTAAAACGCAACTGATGCATTTTTAGAATTATTTGCCCTTGTCATCTTCAGAGCTTATTTATAGTTTCTGTTTTCTGATTTATTAAGCCCTAAAAACCTCTTCTGAATTTTGTGCCACAATCAGCAAGAGCCACACCACCCATAACCTTTCCTTTTTAAGATGCAAGAGCTTGAAGCCTCGTACACTTTGGATGTGCGGTGTGAAACTCTGCAATAATAATTTACAACCCATATTTTCTTTCTCTGAAAGGATAATAAAAAAAATTTTAGCTGAAATCACTATTGCAGCATGTGTCTGAAGCCTGGAAGGAAAAAAGAAAAAGGAAAGAAAGCAAACTGTACAGTGCAAGGAGTTTTTGTGTGGGGAGCTCCAGGCAAGTAGGGAAGAAGTCCTCCAGGGCAACGCTTGCTTCCATCACCAGCACCTTCAGAGATTTCCCTTTTTTTTTTCTCAGGTTCAAAAACACCAAATGAAATTCTGGACACAACACAGCCCCACTTTGCAGCTCATCACTTGGTAACAAACCTGAGATTTGAGGAACCCAGGACCTCATGGGGGTTGTGCAAAATTAAAAAAAATATATATATATATAAAAAGGGGAAAATCTATCCTGGATATAAACCAACCTAAATAAACCCGTTTGTCCTGAAAACACTGGTGTTTTCTTCTCCCTCCCTCGCCCCAGATGATGAACTTGTTGAGTAAAGCAAGCCAGCAGCACAACGCTGCAGCGAATTCCCAGCACGGTACCTGGACGGGAAGCCAGCTGCACTGATGCGGATAGTCTCCAGCACTCCACAAGCTCTCAGCTGCTGCACCGCTCTCTTCGGATCAAATCTGCAATTATAGTTAGGAGAGAGATGAACGCAGTGAGAAGGAACCCACATCATCAACCTGAAGCATCCACAAGAATGTTTATGTTGGCATCCTTTGCAATATCTCTAATTTTGAACCCAATAATTTATATACGGTGCACACTGGGGAGTTCAGTCCTTTATATCCATCAATACACTACACTAAGAAAAAATGTAGTATTGCCTGAAAAAGCTTGATGGTGACTCTTTTGGAGAAAGGAATTACCTTCCGATTTGTAGAAAAAACCCTTATATAAGGTATAAGGACCAAAGAAAACCATACATCCATGGATAGCTTTTGTCCATAGCCATTCCCTCACAAAACTCGGTATAACCACAAATTTTGTGAACAGCTTGCACAGATGTCACGCGTTTTCTCTCCGTGTCACTAGATGTTGTGCTTCTCAAGCGCAATGAACCCTGCTATTGCCCTACTATCAATGCCAAGTGGTACTCTTGGGACAAGATGCCAATCTGCTGCAATTAGTCTCCAAAGCCACCACCTATCCAGCTATATCAAGCCACAAAATTAAAATAAAGAAAGGAATCTGCACCAAGAGCAGGTACCAGCATCCACCATCAGTCCTCCCTTCTTCCACCCCAACACCAAATGCACAAAGAGGTCCCAGCTCTCCAGCTCGAGACGTTGGACCCTGGAAGAAGTCGTTGGATCAAGCTTGGACTCATAAGATGCAGATCTCCACAGATGTAAATGATGTCCACAGATGTGTTAGGTTTCTAGAACAAGGATGAGGAACAAAAGCTTCTCAGGTACCTGCTTGTCCCTTCCTGAAAGCCCAAAGTATTTACACCTGCAAGTCAAGACTGCATGAATAATTCTGCTTGGCCTCCGCTGTGCATTAAGAAACAGGCCCTCGCGACTTTGTGCATTTTTTAATTCCCCAGACCTCTCAAGTCTAGAGCAAATTATTCACTACAACACCGCAAAGAAGATGCAGGGTGGAAAAATCCGTCTTGGCTGTCACTCACTTCAAGGAAGAATCCACGAGGGTACAATTTCCATAAGAATAAATAATAAACACGACTGGTGAATGGATGAGGAAGCTTCAGACCTGGAAAATCCCAGGGCAGTGTACACTGTACACACAAGGGGAGCTTCCTGCAACTTCCAAGCCCTGCTCAGTGGGGGTGAAATGCAGTAACCAGAGCGGCTGCAGTGATTTCTCAGCGTGGAAAGCCAGGACCCTCTCTAGTGACAACTCCAGCTATGGGCTGAAGCTGAAATAAAGAACTTAAAAGTGGCACAGCACACATGATTACGAATTCCTTTTCCTTGCCATGGCAGGTAGAAGCACCTAGCAGCTTGCTTTTGGCCTGAAAACTCAAGTAAGAGACCACAAACCCTGCCTGAAATGGAATCTGGAAGGAAAGTTGTCAAAGGTACAAGCTGAAGTCAGGCATGCCCCTCACACCTCTCTCTTGGAAATCTTCTCCACGGGGGATCAGCCTCAGATGCAGCAAATATCACTGTGTGGTGCCAACGCTTCCTCCAGGCTGGAAGTCAGACACCCCTCAACTTGCTAAGAAACAAACTGCATCAAGATGTAAAGCAGGAACAAGAGCAAAGCAGGTTGCAAGAGACTTTCAGGAGGTCTGTAATCCAACCTCTTATGTTCGGAAGCCAGAGCAGACCCACAGCTCAGGGCTTTACCCAGCCAAGGGCTGAAAGCATCCAAAGATGGAGTTTGCACGACCTCTCCAGGCACCCCGCTCCACTGATAGACTGTTCTTACGGAGAAAAAAACAAACAAATGTTTCCTTATCTCCAGGCTGAACTTCTCATTCCAATTTGTGGCCATTGTCTCCTCTTTTCCCACCACACACCGCTGCTCCATCCTCTTGGAAGCTCCTGTAAGAACTGTGAGGCTGCTATTAGGTCCTTTCTCTTCTCCAGGCTAAACGTCTCCTTTGAGCAAAAATGTAATGTTCTTTTGAGCTGAAAAACATTATGTTTTAGGAAGAGGAAAAGGTCTGTGTTTTTTTTCACTGAACATCGAACATAACACCAAGTGTTCTGCATGCTACAAGATACTATTTTAACGCTCACCCAGAGCAGTGCCACTGATGTCTCATTTCACTAATACCTCCTGGCACCGAGTATTTTTCAGCACAAGTGCCTCTGAAATGCAGAATCTTTTACAGCCATCCCAATGTTCCCCCCAGCTTCATCCAGACCTGAGATTTACATACAAGCAAACAGACTTTATTTGAGCCATGCCAAGGATACAAATTCCTCAAGCTGGTGGCAGCAAACATTGACCAAGGTTCCCAGCTCTCAATCTCAAGCAATCCATGATGGGTGAGGAGGGAGATAATCTCTTACAGAATAACCCCAAGATGCCCAAACCAGTGCTTTCTATCTTGTAAATGGAGGTGCAACACCTCCACCCCCACCCAAAGCACCCTCTCCTGTTGTTTCCAGCCCATGGAGACTCCTGTGATGCTGCTGGCTGCGAGCAGACACAAGCAGAATTGTCCTCCTGGTATCTGCTACCCCTAACAGGGAAGATGAGTTCATTTAGATAATTACTGCACCATGACAACCAGGAGCTTGCACATTTATAAAACAGTATTAACTGTATCCCGAACGGAATCACAAAGTTAAAGGCAAAGAAGTGAAGATGGATGGGCTGAAAGTAGAGCCGAGGTAGGACCATGGAGTCTTGGAAACACCCTTTGGAAAGGTGAAGCCACTTCACGATGCAGAGCATCTACCACAAAGTTAGAAAATAATTTTATGCTTCAGATAAAGAGAGCAATCAAACAAAAAGAGTAATCCTGAATTTCATTTAAATGGTCACCTGGTGCAATCAGCAACAAGAGACTGAGGCCCCAAGCACCTCCAGTACCTACAAAGTAGTACATGAAACAGATACCACAGAAACTGCAGTCCCAGCGCAGACAGCCAACACAGCCCTCTCCAGAGCTGTTAACTCATCATCTAATGAATAAATTAGAGATAAGCCAGTTCCTGAATGTCTTCTAACCATTAACACCCTTCACTTTGCTGTTTGCAGGGGGAGAAGAGCCAGGCTGGAGAAGCTTCCTGGCAGATACATATCCACCAACACATCACAACCAAGGGTGAGCCTGTTTACGGATGCTTCATCCTCCTTTCCAGGACACTCTTGGAGCCATCTCTGCACTCCGAGGTGGCATCGTGCTCACCGGGAGCACTCAGACTGTGTTGGATCAGCTGGAGGGTGAGCCTTCGTGCTTACGGGTTACAACTATAACCCTGATTTCTTAAATGTCACCACCTGCAGTTTATGCCAGAGCCCTCAGAATTCATCAGAACAAGATCTATAACATCCCTGCATACTAATGGCCGAGTTTTTTGGAGTTACAGGGAACAAAACTGGGCACAAATACATTATCTCAGAGATCAAACAAGGCTAACAGCTATTTGCTCACAACATCCACAGCTTGCGATACACCTCTGAGCACCAGAGGAAGATCAAAACTGTCTTTTTGCTTCAGCTGTTCACTCACCTGGAAACCTGCCCGAAGTTGATAGAAGTCAGGTTTCTACTTCTTCCACATTTAATTTGGAAGCACTAAGATATTTTTGTTCATTTTACAAGCACACCACTTATCTCCACGTTTTCATTCCATTCAAACCACAAAATGAAACCCAAGAGAAGTGACTCTGGCAAACTACAGGGACCTTCCAGCTACAAGGGAAGTAATCTGGGTAGCAAGAGGAAAAGTCCGAAGCATACTCTGTTGCTATGATCCTGAACACATCTCCTCCTCTGAAAGCCCACTTACTTGAAGGGGAGCTTCTCGTCGTTGGGCTTGATGCAGCGCACGTAGTGCGGGGTGGTGGCGTTCAGGGTCTCCATGAGCAAATGCAGGGAGTTGCGGAACTGAAAGACAAAACCATTTGTTTTGAGGAGGGGTGAAGGTGCTGTACCATGCAAGCCAAGCTGCCAGAAGCCAAGGGTGGAGACAGCACAACCCCTCCGGGCCCCTGTTGCACTGCCTGACTGTCCACACAGGGGAAAAAAGCTCTTTTTCTCAAGTTGTTTGAATTTATGCGCACCATTGTACATTGGGATACAGTTCAGTGAATCCCAGAGTGGCCTCCACCCTCCTTAGGGCACGTCCTTCCAGTCAAGACTACTTGACCCTGTTCAGAGACACTGCTAGAAGGCATCCAAAACACAACAGCCAAACTGCTCCCATCCTCAACACAGGTCACGGGAAGGTCTCCTCACTTATCCCCACAACAATTTTTTATTTATCTCTGCTTTGAGCTGAAGAAACAAGATCTGAACTGTAAAAATGTATCTGGATTCCCCTGCCCTGTTGCCCTGACATTGACTGACCCGCTCATATCGTACGTTACCTGGTGCCCCACTGTTTTCTTGTGCTCCTTATTGGCAGCTTTGATCGCTGGTCTGGCAGAACGGATGCTGATTTTGGATGTTCCCTTTCCCTTGGAAGTGGTGGGTGCAGCATCCTTCTCATCTTGGAATAAGTCCGCTATCATTTGATACTAAAACAAAAGACGATGTGTGAGCACCTCTGGCCCTGCTCTTTGCCGAATGAGGCAGGAAAGGAAAAAAATTGTAATAAAGTGAAATCAAGAAGCATTGCCTACAGAAACCACATCAGCAGGACCACTGGCCATTCTGTTTTGTCGTTCACCAAACCTTGAAATGCGCACATTAAATCACACAAGTGAAAAAAAGAGGATGGCCAGCTGAAAGGCTGCATCACTGATGCGTTGTCCACAGTACAAAACACAAATAAGAAATTATTCTCGCTCCCAGGCTTCCTTTCGAGCTACTCATTGAGTCCTGATGGCAGCAAGGATGCTGCCTGCATAATGTATCCCCCAGGAACGGGGTCTCCACAAGAGCACAGGCAGCAGTCCGCTCCCACCACTGGCCCAGAAGCACCCCTGCTTTTCTGAACAATTAAGAGACACCAGCGCTTCCTCACTAATTACCTGCATTTCAGAATAAATGAGCAAGGCGACCGCAGGACCACCATCCTGCAGCCCTGATAGCACCACACTTTGCTCCTCAGATCCCTGAAGTCTGGGGTTTTGGCAAGGCAGCAGCAATGGTTCCACTTCATAAATGAGAGAACAGGTGAGCTGGTAAACGCAGTTCATGGTTGGTTTTGGTTTTTTTTTAAGGGGCAGGATCTTCAACTCTGCATCAGGCTGGGGAACCTGAATACTAAGCAAGCCACAATAAATCTGGGCTGGTTAGCAGGGCTGTTAAATCTCGACTCCAGTTGTGCACCCACACAGGTCCCTGCTACAGCTGTGCTTACATTCCAACAGTAAATTCTTAAAACCTAAGAAAAACCAGCCCAGGGACACTGCCAAAGCACCCGTGATGCCGCCCCAGCAGCACACAGACCACCAGCAACTCCTCCAAAAGCCAAATGTGGTTGTATTTCCATTAAGATCCCGAGAAGATCGCAGGGGTTCACCACTCTGCAGACATTACCGGACAGCCTCATGCCATAAAGGGCTGCCTGGCTCTCCGCCACATCCCTGGACTGAGACAGGGATATTTCCAGCCCTGGTCCTGCAGGCCGTTCGCACAGCTTGCTAGCACAGCAGCTTAAATACCACGGTGGAAAGGAAACTGTTTGCATTACGTTATCAAATTGCTCACAGGCAATACTGCTTCATACTCATGGGTTTTATTTTTATCTCTGCAGCTCACTCAACTCCTACCAGAATAAAGGCTCGCCCCTTCTTTGCCTAACCCTCTATCCCCCCCCAAAAAAGGTGACATGTTACCATCATGGGTGCTTTGACTCCTGCAAATACAGGATGGTTGGGTGGCATGTGCTTGATGCTGGGAGCCATCCAACACAGGTTCCACTTTACTATCTCGTGCCGGAAAATGTGGTGAAAGCCCCGGCTGTAATTTCAGGTTTCAAAATATCTTCTCAACACATAGCTGGAAGTGCCATCGATCCCTCTGTCCACTTGCTATTAATAGCAGGAGTGCTTGCTCCAGCGGAAATGCTCAACAAGAATCTCAGAGGTGAGTTTTCAGCTTGCTTAAAGCAAAACTGGTGGAACTGAGACTACCTGTAGCAGCCCAGGATCTATTCCTGAGGGCTAAGTGAGAAGGACAGATCTCTCCTTCCCAACTGGCAGAGTCAAAACCACTGGTGCATCATTACAGAGGACTGGAATATAATATCTTAAGAGCACACTCATATGCTTTCAATCAGTATTCAAATCTGTTTCCTTGATTCAAAGAACATCAACTCGCAACTGTTTTGGTTGATCAGCGCTAAAAAAAATTAATTAGCTGCTTTAAAAACTCTCTTTCACCATATTCTTGGCAGCAATAATTGCATTGTAATTAGCAGAATGCAATTCTGCCTTGGTGGGAGCGCTCCATCGGCGATGCACTTGCTGACGGAGAGGTGTTTAAGTTCTTGCCATGTTCAATTGATAGCTGTCCCCCTTGCCCCACGTATCGTGTTAGTGGGAATACAAAGAGGGATGCTGTGAGCACTGTAATACAGGGCTGAGCATGAGTACAGGACAGAGTCCTCCTGGCAGAGAAATATTTTTATTTGTTTATACCCACAGAGGGCACATGGCAGGACGGGGAGGGAGGGGGGAACCCCACAAAAAACAAAAAAAACCACAAAACAAAAAAAACACTGAAACAAAAAAAAAACCCCCAAGAAAAACAAACAAACAAAAAAACCACAAAAACAAAACCAAAACCAAAAGACAACTGAATCTGCTGGACAACAGGGTTAATGAATGCAGGAGCAGAAGATCAGGTTTTGGAGGCTTTGCAGGATGAGGATGCTCCTGCCAAGGAAACCGCTGTTCTTCCTCCCAGAACAGCACAGCATCAGCACAGGAAGGCAGAAATTCATCCAACTATCACCCAAAGCTTCTCAGAGACAAGTGCATTTGAGAGTGTTTTAATCTAGACCACAAATGAAGGTTTTGGTGTCACCTACAGAGCCACCACCATGAATTCACAAGGTCCTAACGCCTCATCTCAACGAGCATTAGCTTAGTTTGCAGACTGAGTGAGCCCAAATCTTTGGTCCCGAGGCATACACTCAAATTACTTTTTAGGTCAAGTAAACCAGTTGCAAAGAGCAGGGTTTGGAGTTGGTTTTTGCTGTTAAACCGAAGCCCAGCCTGCTCTGATATCATATTATGGTCCCTATATAGGAGAGAGAGAAAAGGAGGAGATGCTGCCAATACACTCACTTCAGCATTTTTTTAAATTTATTTTCTTAAGGAACAAGTTGCAGGTGGCACCATCCCCACCACTCTACAACACACTGCTCCAATGAGTTCCAGCTCTCCTCTGCACCGTCAGACACGGCCAGGTCTGCAGCACTACCTCCAACAGCGACTTCAGCGCCGGCTAAACAATTCATCATCCAGCATCAATTATTCCTGCAGGTTCCTCGGCATTTCTAATAAGCTCTAATCACACCCCGTTTTTACCTTGGGAAAGCTGTGAGCTTCCCAAACACAGAGATCTTGGTTTGGGTTTTATTAAAGCCCAGCTTCACAGTTATTAGACTCGCAACTACCCCCATGGATGAGAAAACTGCACATCTTGCCATCTTCAGGTGAATTCATTGCTTAGATGGAGGGCAAGCCACTGACAACGCTCAATTTCCCATTCTCATCTCTCTTACTTTGACAAGAACAAACTCCTGCTTAAAATGCTCCTAACAATAATCCTTCCTCCCTTCCCTACTCATCACGCTCCTTAGTTAGGGTGGAAGGTCCTACCCAGCCGTAAACCCAAGGGAGAAAAAAATCTGGATATGCAACAGATCTGCTGCAATATGCAGGGAGGATTCAAAATTCATGATGTAAAAAAAATAAATGCAAGTTAACAAGCTGGTCTGAGCTGGGGGAAGCTCTGAAATGGGTTGGAGAAAATCAGATATCCTACACCACACACAAAGTCTGGTGTTCACAGACGCCAGTGGGAAGTCTCAGACTTGAAGCTCTTGCATGACCCACACCAAAGCCTGCAGAGCCCCCCAGCTGCTGCCTTTCTGCTCCCAGCAGCCCACCGAGTTCCCAGATCTCAGGACTAACGGAGACTCGAAACCCCAGGTGCCAAAAAGCTCTTTTCCAGGAAATTTGGCATTCGAGGTCAATCAATACATCTCTGTTGGTACCAATAAGTTGTTTTTCCAATACTCAGGAGAGGAAAGGCACATGGCACAAATGTAATACAAGAGCGACAGCAACCTTGATCATCAATACGTGTTAATTAGTTAATATTGCATATTGGCAGCAGCACAAAATAGCTCTTCAGGAGCCAGATCAACTCAAAAAGTTCATGTTACATTTCCAGCACTGTAAATTAACCCTGTTTTTTCCATACTAATTATTAAACTCATTAAGTTGCAGGGTCAAGTATGATGGTTAAGAAGAAGGGCTATTTTCGTACAGAAGGGTGGTAGGGTCAGCAACGACACCCACCATATACAAACCACACTGCTGACCATGGTTTTTAATTCCAGGATCACCTGTGGCTCCACATGCTTTTTGAGAACACTTTTGGTGACAGGTGGGGAGCTCCAAGCAAGAGTTAAATGGGATTTACACTGCCCTGTTCCTGATTTTTGCTCTCGGTGACCAAAAAAAGCAGAGGATCAACAGGTTTGGAAAGGATTTTTCTGATGCACTTCAACAGGACACCAACAGCAGGGTGGAGGAGAGCAGGATGCTTTTACCTTGCTGGCTTTCAGGATGTTGATCTGCTCCTCGTACACAGTGTCTCTGTTCTTCTCCAGAAATCCCTCGCTCTGGTATTCCACCTAGGAGGAGACAAAGAAGCCCAGAGGATAAAGTCCAACCACACAGGGACAAGGTGCATGTCCCACCACTGCCCTACTGTTGGAGCTCATCTGAGAAACCACACTGGGAAAAATAACGAATCTAAAGGTCACTTTTTATTAAAGAAAGTGAACCTGAATGAAAGCAAAATCCTAAACACAAACACAAATTGTTTCTTAGTCATCAGACTGCTCTGTATGGGACCCAACCGCACTTCCATGGAAACCAGGGGTAAAAATGCAAAGATCATCAGTCCCTCT